TGTATCCTAAACTACTTTTAAAAGGAACCTGACCGATTTATGTATGGTCCAGTGTACACAAAATTATGCTGAATACATTTAGACTCTATACATATTAAATTAAACTATGTGTAATGAATAATAAAACTCATATTGTTACCTCATCATTTTGTATCCTAAACTACTTTTAAAAAGGAACCTGACCGATTTATGTATGGTCCAGTGTACACAAAATTATGCTGAATACATTTAGACTCTATACATATTAAATTAAACTATGTGTAATGAATAATAAAACTCATATTGTTACCTCATCATTTTGTATCCTAAACTACTTTTTAAAAGGAACCTGACCGATTTATGTATGGTCCAGTGTACACAAAATTATGCTGAATACATTTAGACTCTATACATATTAAATTAAACTATGTGTAATGAATAATAAAACTCATATTGTTACCTCATCATTTTGTATCCTAAACTACTTTTAAAAGGAACCTGACCGATTTATGTATGGTCCAGTGTACACAAAATTATGCTGAATACATTTAGACTCTATACATATTAAATTAAACTATGTGTAATGAATAATAAAACTCATATTGTTACCTCATCATTTTGTATCCTAAACTACTTTAAAAAAAGGAACTGACCGATTTATGTATGGTCCAGTGTACACAAAATTATGCTGAATACATTTAGACTCTATACATATTAAATTAAACTATGTGTAATGAATAATAAAAACTCATATTGTTACCTCATCATTTTGTATCCTAAACTACTTTTAAAAGGAACCTGACCGATTTATGTATGGTCCAGTGTACACAAAATTATGCTGAATACATTTAGACTCTATACATATTAAATTAAACTATGTGTAATGAATAATAAAACTCATATTGTTACCTCATCATTTTGTATCCTAAACTACTTTTAAAAGGAACCTGACCGATTTATGTATGGTCCAGTGTACACAAAATTATGCTGAATACATTTAGACTCTATACATATTAAATTAAACTATGTGTAATGAATAATAAACTCATATTGTTACCTCATCATTTTGTATCCTAAACTACTTTTAAAAAGGAACCTGACCGATTTATGTATGGTCCAGTGTACACAAAATTATGCTGAATACATTTAGACTCTATACATATTAAATTAAACTATGTGTAATGAATAATAAAACTCATATTGTTACCTCATCATTTTGTATCCTAAACTACTTTTTAAAAGGAACCTGACCGATTTATGTATGGTCCAGTGTACACAAAATTATGCTGAATACATTTAGACTCTATACATATTAAATTAAACTATGTTTGAATAATAAAAACTCATATTGTTACCTCATCATTTTGTATCCTAAACTACTTTTAAAAAGGAACCTGACCGATTTATGTATGGTCCAGTGTACACAAAATTATGCTGAATACATTTAGACTCTATACATATTAAATTAAACTATGTGTAATGAATAATAAAACTCATATTGTTACCTCATCATTTTGTATCCTAAACTACTTTTTAAAAGGAACCTGACTGATTTATGTATGGTCCAGTGTACACAAAATTATGCTGAATACATTTAGACTCTATACATATTAAATTAAACTATGTGTGTAATGAATAATAAAACTCATATTGTTACCTCATCATTTTGTATCCTAAACTACTTTTAAAAGGAACCTGACCGATTTATGTATGGTCCAGTGTACACAAAATTATGCTGAATACATTTAGACTCTATACATATTAAATTAAACTATGTGTAATGAATAATAAAACTCATATTGTTACCTCATCATTTTGTATCCTAAACTACTTTTAAAAGGAACCTGACCGATTTATGTATGGTCCAGTGTACACAAAATTATGCTGAATACATTTAGACTCTATACATATTAAATTAAACTATGTGTAATGAATAATAAAACTCATATTGTTGCCTCATCATTTTGTATCCTAAACTACTTTTTAAAAAGGAACCTGACCGATTTATGTATGGTCCAGTGTACACAAAATTATGCTGAATACATTTAGACTCTATACATATTAAATTAAACTATGTGTAATGAATAATAAAACTCATATTGTTACCTCATCATTTTGTATCCTAAACTACTTTTTAAAAGGAACCTGACCGATTTATGTATGGTCCAGTGTACACAAAATTATGCTGAATACATTTAGACTCTATGCATATTAAATTAAACTATGTGTAATGAATAATAAAACTCATATTGTTACCTCATCATTTTGTATCCTAAACTACTTTTAAAAGGAACCTGACCGATTTATGTATGGTCCAGTGTACACAAAATTATGCTGAATACATTTAGACTCTATACATATTAAATTAAACTATGTGTAATGAATAATAAAACTCATATTGTTACCTCATCATTTTGTATCCTAAACTACTTTTTAAAAGGAACCTGACCGATTTATGTATGGTCCAGTGTACACAAAATTATGCTGAATACATTTAGACTCTATACATATTAAATTAAACTATGTGTAATGAATAATAAAACTCATATTGTTATCTCATCATTTTGTATCCTAAACTACTTTTTAAAAGGAACCTGACCGATTTATGTATGGTCCAGTGTACACAAAATTATGCTGAATACATTTAGACTCTATACATATTAAATTAAACTATGTGTAATGAATAATAAAACTCATATTGTTACCTCATCATTTTGTATCCTAAACTACTTTTTAAAAGGAACCTGACCGATTTATGTATGGTCCAGTGTACACAAAATTATGCTGAATACATTTAGACTCTATACATATTAAATTAAACTATGTAATGAATAATAAAACTCATATTGTTACCTCATCATTTTGTATCCTAAACTACTTTTAAAAGGAACCTGACCGATTTATGTATGGTCCAGTGTACACAAAATTATGCTGAATACATTTAGACTCTATACATATTAAATTAAACTATGTGTAATGAATAATAAAACTCATATTGTTACCTCATCATTTTGTATCCTAAACTACTTTTAAAAGGAACCTGACCGATTTATGTATGGTCCAGTGTACACAAAATTATGCTGAATACATTTAGACTCTATACATATTAAATTAAACTATGTGTAATGAATAATAAAACTCATATTGTTGCCTCATCATTTTGTATCCTAAACTACTTTTAAAAGGAACCCGACCGATTTATGTATGGTCCAGTGTATACAAAATTATGCTGAATACATTTAGACTTTATATATGTTACCAATATTATTAACAATCCTGTTATTTCTTTAAGTAGGCGAGCGTGCTGAACACTTGTCTTCCTACCTTGAGATCGGGGTTTAATTCTCACCATGGTCTATTTGTAATTACTGGATGACCGATCCCAGTCTGAACACCATACTCAAAGGTCGAGTTTACCCAAACCTTGTGAGTGAAACTAGAAGACAGAACTGTTAGTAAGCCGCCTGTTAGGCTAACACTAAATGTCAAGTCATCACATCCGAAGGTTTCGAGCGTACCGGTCTTGTTCAAAACATTTGATTAAGCCAGACTATGAGCTCTCCTCCAGATACTGTAACTAACTTTGCTCGGCATAAGGAAACATTTGACATTCATTAACCGAGCAGCCAGTACTGCTTTCGTTTGAAATTTATGAAAATCTCTTTCTGTTGTAGAGTAGTTTCACAGTGGAGGCTTGTATTTCACTAAGTCGGTCCTAAAAAGATTCGACGTACAAAACGTTAGGAACTTGAAATAATAGTTAATGACGCAGCAATCTAGTTGTGGTGGTTGATACTTTAATGTTCGAAATCGACTGAATGACCAACTCACTGAGCGACTCACTCTCTGAGCGACTGCTACTACTCCTACCTATTATAGGTGGGAGAGTCTATTAACTATAGAATAGGTGTGTTCCACTATAACATTTTCTTAAATCACTTTTTTTAAAGAAAAACATGGTTCTCAAGTTCAGCAGCTGTTATCCAGTATTGATGAGGGTTTCCTTCCAAACTTTCTATTTTAATTATGCCATCATTTTCTCTTTGATTTACATGTTCTATCCATTTTAGTTGTTGCCGCTGTTGGTAGTCCTCAAGTGATATAGTTTATGTTATATGGTACAATTCTTTGTGAATTTGTAGCGCCAGCCCACAATGTTCAAAGCAGGATGATCTTTTCGATGAACCCCAGGCTTTACTCGCTCAAAGCGTTTTTTCACTATTGATCTTAGGAGGTGGTTGTATACAGCTGACGTAGTTATAGCATAAATCGCCGATTGGTTCTATGGGCTGAAGTAACCAAGCCTGCGCAGGCGTCTACCATAGGATTTAGATAGCCACCCTCAGCGAGCTGCCAGTCACTGTTTATCTTTTTAATAAAGAAGTCTACGTGTCATATCATTGAAAACATGACCCAATAAACAGCAGATAGACCTCCAACAACCATCTCTTAAAATGGGGTAGACTGGGATCAATTGTTATATATGCAGCCAGTGTAGTGATGACATAGTATCGCTGGGCTTCCTATATTGAGGTCAACGACCAAAGTAGAGAGTTCTCCCGATAGAATAAATCTGACCAAAACAAGGTTTCATGTTGAGGCACATAATCTGTGCTTTGGCTTGAAGAGAGCTGGGCTCCGCCAGTTCTACATGTCCAAGACAGGCAACGCATGAAAGAATACGCCTGGCTTTTAATCTAGATATGTAAAAGGTAATTAGTCAGGTGTTCAACTGTGCAGCAACTCTACGACCACACCGGGACATCCAACGAACACTGAACTTTCCACCGTAACGTAAGGGTCAAGAGTAAATGTGGAGCAAAAAATTCTATTACCAATATTTTATCCGATAAAAATATTGCATTCAGTTTTCCTCCAATTAGTATTACTTTAAAAATGTTCTCAGGAAGATTTAGCCTTTGCTTCAACCATCAAACTTTTTTATTAACAGCCGAAATCAATTTCATTAAATCAGTAATTTGTTAATCTTCTCTTCGTTTACGCTGACGGTTGCATCACGTTGAAAGACCGTTCCCGTACGATCACCGAAGTTAAGCATCGTCGAGCCTGGTCAGTACCTAGATGGGCGACAACTTGGAAATATCAGGTGCTGAGATCTTCGATGTGCGGATGATGTAATGGATAATTGTAGTTCTATGCTAGCCACGGCACTAAATGTGGTCTTAGTTCCGTGACTACCACATGCGTTGCCGACTAGTTCTTCTGTCAACTCCTTCTGTGTCCATGCTGTGTTTGAAAGATCCACCGAAGGGAGATGTCACATTTCGGCCGAAACTTCTTCTGACGGTCAGGATATTCGGTACGAGTTGCTAGAAGGATCTGCAATTCTCCGTTAACAAATAACAAAAATATTTACTGTAATATTATTGTCAAATAATACATAAAGAATAGGAAAAAATAATTTCTGCCAGTTGTTTATTGAAATAAAATAGTATTTTTCAATAGGCCTTGCTGCATCGTCGTGGTGAATGATACACAGAGAAGAATGAGTGCTCAATATATTTATTCAGCACAAGTATTCGGTTCTAACGGATACATACAAAAAACACAAAACAATAAGTTACAAAACAATTAACAAGACAACTTACAAGGAATAGAGGAGGGTCAAATAAAGTAAGATCAGTTCGAATATTAATCAGCTTAGTATCAATTTATTAATTAATTGTTGAAGTCATTAATCATAGACTATTTAAGGCTATGAGCCAGGACAGCTGGTAGTGTGCTGAAGGGGTGCTAGCTACTCTACAACAGGACTTAATGACGCCAAGTGGGTGAGAGAAAAAAGACACGGTGAGAAGTTTTGTCGGCATTACGGACTTGTGCTATTCATCATGTGGTTATCGCAACTTGAGTAGTTGGTTCAGAGTCTGGGATTTTCTTCGATGAGTCGATTCTTCCCAATGTCTTCTACTGGCTGGCGAGAAACTGATGTCGAAGGGAGAGATAGATTTCTTGACTTTTCATCTCCGGTCTATTTGCAGACCTCAGTACTTCAGCCTTGATGGACGAAATTTTCCGACCATAAAGTCTTCTGATTGGTAATCCAATTACAGACCATTTCGTGTCATATTCCCATTGGTCAACCAATAATAGTTCGGGTTATAATATATGGAAGTGGGAGGAAAAAAACCCTTCCAGATCCCTGATTGGACATTGCTCACATTAATTACATTCTTATAGACCTTTAAGTCTGATGGCAGCTAGGATGTTCTAATTAGGTCAAATGCAACTCATGCAGGTGCTACAAAGTTTGATAGTTTTTGAACTCATAATCTCGCAGTGACAACTCTGTATGAAAACCGATTATGAAGCAAAAAAAAAACAATAGGTGCCTTGAATTTTGTCAGACTCAAACTTATTAAACACAGTTGCCTTTAAATAACCAAATCATAAGAAAATGTTTTGTTTTAAAGAAATCCTATTTATGATAGAATTTTATCAGAAAAAATGAAAAGATTTTCTTAATAATTTTTAAGTGTCAACTAATAATCTCATTGTGTCACATAATAGATCAGAATTGTTAACGTTATGATATTTCTTTGGATTTTTTTCAAGAATACCTAGACACACAGCAAAAACACCGATACAAGATGTGGCAGTATTATTCTCTACACGGTCGAATGATATACAGTGTAACCCGGATATAAGAGAGTTGTCGGGACCAGAGAAGAAGTCTCTTATATCCGGGTTTCTCTTATATCCGGGTTTGGTCTATTTTATATACATTAACACAGGCTCTAATTTGGGACCAGAGAAAATCTCTCTTATATCCGGGTTACACTTATTATAAATATGTTAGATAGATTCTGGCAAGAATAAATAGCGAGGCTTACGACTACATGACATTGAAGAACCGATTCCTGTACTATCACCAATGTTAAGCAACGTCGAGTCTGATCAGTACTTATATGGGTGACCGCTTGGAAATAGATGTATATGTCCATTTTGTTCGCATTAGCAAGCATTAATGCTTTATCCAGCAAAAAAAAAATTTCTCAACAACACTTGAGAAAGTTCATAACAAAAATAATTAAAAAGTTCAATTCCAATAGTTGTGTCCATAATTTAGAGTTCTTTAAACAGGGGATATTTCCAATGATGGCAATCGTAGTGGTCTTTCTTGGTTGGCTGGTGATTGTAGTGTTGGTTTCTTACCAATTGGTACCATTTCCATTTGACGCTTTCGAGTGATTTCTTGTTGGTTGGTAGCAGTTACCTCTGTTTCTCCAATTGTTTTGCGCAAATTCATTGGTTCATTATTACTTGGCTTTTTCAACCGAGGTTGTATGATTATGACTAATATTAGTGTAAAGGAAACAACTATTAAGCTAATAACTATTATTAAAATAGTCTATATGGAAGGATCAATTTCTCGTTTTTCTAATGGGACATCTATACAATAGTGTCCAGTTTATTTGATAGTTCTATTAGACTAATGCGTTTTAATGTTCCTAATACTTCAGGAATTGTTTGGAGAGTTAAATTTAGAATTGTCTGAATTAGGGGGTTCCCAGAGACCCGCCAAACTACTAAACACGGTGTTGATTAAAGGCAAGAAAGAGCAGCTCGTATTGAATCTTTTTTCGTCCTGGTAAGATGGCGCAATCGCACCGTCTTAGAACTTTTTTCCTGTTGCCTCGATTATATAAATTTAAGCGTGCTACTAGACTGGCATCTAGGTTCCACAATTTTACCACCACTTCTACTCCTTTTGTGGATGCTTCAGGTACCAGGTAATGACCTTAGAACCTGACTAGGGAGACGTATACCTGGGAAACCGGGACTCCTGAAACAAAGCGTTAATATCACTAGTACACAGGGGGTTGCATGGGGTGAAAGAGAATGGGAATACAGAGAATAAGTAGGATTGAAGGAAGGATAAAAAATGAACAGGGTTCAAGAAAACGGAAGATGGCGATTGACGTTGCATTTAAATTTTTGAAAATTGTAGTTATCAGGGAAGCAAGAAAATTGGCGGTTGTTCCATAGGTAGGAAGCGCAAGAAAAGAAATTGTAGAATTTAGCTATTTCAACAGTAAACGGGTGAGATCTGGATGCCAATCTAGCAGCACTCTTAAATTCTTGTCGTCGGGGCACCAGGGGAGGGGGAAGCTCGTCAGTGTAGTTGCCGTGAAAATATTTGTAGAAAGGACGTCTTGACATAAAGAGTTAATACCTGTCAAGCTAAAAATTCGCGCGAAAGAGAGTTTTCGAACTTGGCGCTTCTTTTTTACTAACCTCTCAAGGGACAGATGCATATATTTCGAACCGGCTGGAGCCGCGGGTAGCAGCCATGTTTCTGCTTACACAGTTGAACAGACTGCGCTGTTTTTGTCTCCAGAAATGTATGTATTGAACTCTGTCTATACGTATTTGTGCATTAATTTCTAAGAATTCCACATAAAAACGAGAAGATAATTCATCATACGGATGTGTACACATTTCAGATTAAAATGATTTATATAATTTCCAGTCAGTGAGCAAAGATTTTTATCACCGATATTTCGTCGGCGTTTTACTAAATATAAAAATAAAATTTCGCTACTTCCGGTCGAACTAACGAAATAATATTTATCTCTACTAGATAAAATCTTTTTTTAACTAATGTTTACACAGTACAAAGCTCAAGAGTCACCCAAGTTAGAAGGTTACTCTATGGTGTTGTATGAGGTTAAGAGACAAGAAGTGTTGTTGTAGTTAAACGGTTAACCCTAAACGTGAAGAGGTTAATATTGTATTGATCATAGAAGCATTCCCTCGGGAGTCTGTTCCCCAAAACAGATGTTCTTGGAAAAAATCTAAGGTGTTAAACATCTATATGTAGTTCGCGTGCGCGGTTAGTGTAACAGATATCGGCGCGGAAAGTTGAATCACAAAGCCGAATTCAAATTCCGGGCTAGTTCTGATGCGTTCCTTTTCGCATCAATACGCTTCGGCATAGCATGAATCTGTTTCTTTTCCATCCATGAGTTAATTAACAACGTAACCTAGACTCTCTAATTTTAGAAGGCAACCAGTCTAAAATAGAAAAACTCTAAATTCCAAACCGTGATGAAGACAACGAAAACCCGATACCATAGGATTTCCATAGGACGAATGTCAATTCGCAGATAACAAAGATAAGGCATCACGTACGCCCTGAAAGAACATGGTATTATTTTTTTAAATACGTATTTCAAATAGACTAACTAAAATCATTCCAGTTTGCTTGTAGTGGCGTTTCATTGGAATTGAATTGATAACACTGTATAATAAACATTTTACTATTTTTGTCTTTGGTCAGTAACATTTCGTAATTACTTCTGCTTAGAAAGCAAAGGAAATGACTATTATTCCCTTCAAACTTTGCTTTTATGACCTGGACATAGTTGTTTTGAAACTAATTTATTTTCCGTTACATTCCAGACAGATTCGTTTCTGAGTTGTTAAAGGACAATTTTCTAGAACTTGCAAGAACTTTCAAGCAGGTTCTGGAAAAAGAGATGTCAGTCTAAATACAGGGAACGTAAGCTCAACAGTTCAGTTTCCTTCTAACTATCCAACTGCAGACAAGTGGTCGTTGATAAATGTATTAGACACAGACGAACTCAAACGGTTGTAAGCATCCGGCAAACGCATTATAACAAGACAAAAGCGGGCACCTCGGGGCGGTGAAATGGTTAACAAGCTTGTCTCGCTAGAACAATTACGACTGAGTAGTGAGTTCGATCCTCACTAGGTGTCCCATACTTTCGGCCTCGTACCACATTTAAGCTATGCTTGGAAAATCGATATAACAAGACGAAAGCGAAAAATTGCTCTATGCCAAACTCTGCCATGAAATTCGCAATCTGGCGAATTTTGGGGGAATCAACTTACCACTCAAGTAACTGTTTCTTCTGCATAGTGGACCCTTCCAAAAGTCGAGCTAGCAAGAATGCGCTGTTATCATATATCCAGACCTTCTGTCATCCATCGCCCCAGTGTCACACTACACTGACATCCCCGTAGCCACTTCTTCAAAGAGAGGGTAGTCGTCTTCAGAAGAGATCGGCAATTCAGAAGAGGATGAAGTCATTGATCAAGATTACAGGGGCGCAGCTGGGGAGCTAAA